AATACGCAAAGGATCATCCGTTCCCGTCGAACACTCGACAATCGTGACAAACATCGAGAGGAAGAACACGGGAAGCGAGGATCCCTGCGCAGGAAGCATCGTCGCGAAGTTCCCGCGAATTGCAATCTCGCACGGTCGTTCGCTAGCGCGAATCTTCGGCCGTTCATCTCGCTAGTCGATCGATAGACAGATGCTCGAAAGTGTTAACCACGTATAAATCTACGCGGCTGTTGCGCCATCGATCGTCTTTACCTTTCGCCGCGTTCCTCGCTTGGCGATTTATTTCCCGATTCTTTCGATCTCGGGAACTTTCAAAATTCGCGGGATAACGGATGACAAAAGTTCCGCGAAGCCGAGCTTTTCTTCGACAGGCGGTGTCGAGAGCTGAACGATCAGCGTGAAAATGATCGTTTCAGCGATACAATCAAACAGGTAATCGGCAGTGTGAAAACTGTAGACGTTATTACGACCTTGGGAAATATTGTGGAAAACTCAGAGACTCAAATTCGTGCTTTGTCAAACTGTTCGCGACAAATTAAATCAATAATTCAATTTCGTTAACTTTTAAGTGGACCGAACCGATTTTAGTTCGATGACTGGAATTAATATCAAGTTCGTAATTTGTGGAAATAAATTTAAAATTGCAGTAATGATGTATTATTAATTGAAATTAACGTAATTAATAATATACAATTATTAGCAAAAAAATTAGACGAAACTACAACGGACCGAGTTTGTTTAACCCTTAAATGGACTACTGGGATAACGGGCCATTCTAATTTTAAATTAATAATCGCATTATGCGTCGATGTTATTACAGTAGAACTCCACTTATACGAACAAAATTTTAACAGTGCCTGATTATCTGAACTTTAGTTGAGCTCCTACTATATGAACTACCGCTGTGCGTCAATCCACTTATATGAACGCGTATCTATATTTTCAGTAAACGTTTCATGAAATCCTCTTATATGAAGTATTAAACTGAACGGAGAATAACAGGTGGACTCCTACTATATGAACCATCTTATTCTCCAATTCCGGTTCATATAAACGTTTTATTATATTTGAAGACTTATATGACCCTCTAATATCGCCTCGTGTTACCAAGGATACAGGAAATATCTCTATTTATCGATTTTGTTTTAAATTAAATATAAACTACAGCTATTGAACTAAAAGTCCACTTAACGATTAAGGGGTTAATTAAACTTTAGCGCATTTATTCGTCTTTTGCTATTTCGTCTGTTCTATTACTCATGATTCATTTATACTGGTTCGCTGTTTAGAATTTTCAATCCGGCTAATGATTTCTTCAACAAATTTGACTTTTTTCTCGATTAAGCCAGCAGATTGAAATTTTATACTGTGTTACTTCAAACTAATATCTGATTTGAAATATTATCTCACTAAATGTCGCAGGTAATTATTAAAAATCACTTGAATACAGCTATTAAAATAAGCACTTGAAATGTTGAAAACTTGATGGTATAATATTATACTTACAATTATACGTTGTTAAAAATTTATGCAAGTTGAAGAAATTCAGGGAAAATGTAGAAGATAAAGGAGATATATACAAAAAAAAAAAAAAAAAAAAAGAAAATGTAAAAAATCATCAGAAACTAATTAGAAAAGGTATTTAAATTTTTACAAGCTCGTGACATCTAGTAATAGTGGAAACTGAGAAAAATATCAACAAAGATATCGTGGAATTCTACTAGCTGCAATTAACTGCAGGTCTCAAAATAACGAAGCAACTATTGACAGACAATCAGAGACATCAAAATGAAGAAAACTTCGTTTTCAGCTGCGAGAATGTGTTAATAGTTGTCGCTTGTCCCTAACGAATAACCACTTTAAAAGTGGTTTCCCCATACACGTAGAACAGCAAACAAAAATTCCTCGAGAGAAGTTTTTCAAACAGTCGCCCGTGACTCATTACCAATCCAACATAATCGTTCGCTGATCGTTCTCACGATCGAATCTTGAATATTTAACGTTCGCCGATTTCAAGTATTTCGTAAGCGAGCGATTGCCCGGCTTCGTCGTTACGTGGTCAAAGCAATACACGCTCGCATTTCGTATTCCAGGTAAGAATAGCGACTATGACGTGAATCGAGAACGCGCACCTGACAACCTCTAGTACCTAGAAGCAGCGTGTTGCTCCTTTTTAGTGCGAGGACGCGTCGCAATCGTCGCGGGATCACGTAACTCGCGTAGCAAGGTTGTTGCGATCGATCGTTCAATGGCTCAATGGAGGCTCGATAAAGGTACCCGATGCTTTGTCAATGGCTTCATAACGGGCACGCGGTACACGGACAATCGCGTCGATGGTTTATTTCGCGTATGAAAACGTCGATTGCACACGATCGTCGACTTGCGTCGATCGGCGGTGTGCTCGCAGCTCGTCGATCCGCGAGTTATTTAATCGAAAGAATTATCGCCGTTTCAAACGTTCGACGTATCGGTAAACACTGGACACGAAGAGGATCAATTCGAGAGCCGTGGAATCCGAGAGGATGCACCTTTTCATGGTTGTTAAACCGCGCTCCGCCGGGTATTACCTACGTTTCAACTCGATGTAATAACGAATTGCAAGGATTGAAAAACTCGAACCGCAAGTTGGAGGGGGGGAGAAGCGGCGAAATCGAAACACGATCACTCGCGGCCTCGTCTGATGTTTAAGCGCGGAGGGATAAATGCTGGTTTGTCTTTCACTCGCCATTTACAGGTTTAGATTAGAAAAATATTTAATAACTCCGAAACTAGTTTTATATATTAATTGACATACGAACTAAATTGTATTAAATTAATAATAAACTAAATTAAATTAAATTGAATTAAATTAAATCGGTAGCTTAGAATATAAGCGTTGAGAAGAGCTATATCAAGTACATAGAAAAATATTTTTTTATATCTTTATATACATATTTAACAAACGTCTCCCAGACCTACACTTCTCAAATTTTCCATCAACCTGTTTCAAACACCCTGTACATCGAGGATTATTTATCGTTCGCGTTTCTGGGCACGATGTCCGTTCAACGATACGACGTCCGATGCCATCTAATCCCGGAACGTTGTTTAATTTATTATCCCTTTGCTGTAAACGCTAGCAGGTACTCCGGGGCAAAGCGCGGCGGACGAGCGCGGACGGCTTAAATTTATCTATGGTTTTTAAAGGGCGAATATGTACCGCTAGAGCGACGATATACAGTATCGTTTGGTCCGGAGCTTCCAATAATCCTGGCAAAGCCCCCGGGGAGGATTTGTCCAATATTTCAGCCTCGACGGCAGAAGATAATAGAGATGTTAGGCTCGAGCACGAACCGAGCAAAGTGAATTAAATTCTTCGATCTGACGGCAACCGTTCTTTGATCAAGCCCTTCCTCGCGATTATCCTAACCCGTTCAACTTCGCGAACTTACCGCTCGACGAACTAGCCAATCGTTCGATTTTCTTTCGTTCAACGCTGAAATTCGTGTGGCTGTGTCCTTCTGTTCCAGTCGATGGCAATTCCAGGTAAGAATTGGTTGTTTTCCAGGTAAGAAAAGAGAACATGACACAACACGTGTAATTATCGTTCGCCAGTCGACCGCGTACTGTCATTGACTTCAAACAGTCTTCTCCTTTTCTTGAAAACCCTGTTATTACTTCGATACGTAATTATCGTAGTTTACTTTATACTCTAACGTTTACGTTTACTCCGTTTAACTTGAAATGAAAAATCTTACCACGGACATATATGTATATCTAGAGACATATCGTTTCAGGGATAATCGTATGAAACGTCACGTTTAATGCAAATTCCTCCGAGTGTCACGTTACACAACGTTGCTCGTGGTTTGTAAAGCGCTCGATAGATCTGTATCTTAATGAACGTATGTACGTGTTTTGTTTCGTGAACGTTCGAGAAATCTGTATTCTAATGATACACATATTTATTATTTCAAGCCAACACGTGGCGAATATAAAAATTCTACGCTGCGCAACGAAACTTCAACTAATTAATTATTTAATAAAGTTATTATTTATTATTTAATATTTTTCATTTATTTAAATTTATTATAATTTAAAATTTTTTTATTTATTATTTAATAAAGTTATTATTAGAATCAGTTGTTATTAAGAACTAGAGATTAATAATATTATAGTATTATATAGATTGTAATACAGCTCCAATTTAAAACTCGGGATCTAGCAATTGTTATACATAATTATAAAATTTATTATAAATACTATAAATAATATTACATTTTCAAAACGTGGGCATATGTTCCTTTTGACGAATCATAACGTTCCATCTAACGAATCTATAACAACACTGTGGGGTCGACTCCACCTTATTTCAATAGATAGAATATTGCGTCCTATAATAAATATATTATGTATATTATCTTATAATTAAAAAAAAGTTTCAAATTAAAAGAGATTATTTCCTGGATTAAAATGTATTTTGATTTTCTAAGCAACATCATGAAGAGAATTATTTCGTACATCTAGTACAGAACGAATTTAATGTACTAGATTATAAAGATGCCACATAGGATGTGCACAATAGTTCAAACTATAAGAATTTGTATTACGCTACAAAAATTAAAAGAATTTAATATTTTCCGTGCATTAAATAAATCTCTGACTGGATTTTATGTCAGATATTTATTCGATATCATCCAATGACAGCGATAAATTCAAAGTTCAAATCAAACTATATATATAATTCGATAAATTCCACGACAGCTTTCGAGGATTAAACGGCTATAAAAAAAATGGCCACGCGAGACGCGGAACATTGGCCGAGAATGAGAATAAAAGGAGAAGAAGGAAGAAAAAGAACATTCAAACATTTCTTCTCCCTACGGCGCTGTTATTTCAGCTAACTGTACGACTATTTAAAACGATCTCTCCAGCCGCGATTCTTTCTTCTCAATTAAACGAAGTTAAAAAAAAAAGAAGAAGAAGAAGAAGAAAGGGGGAAAAAAGAAGGCAAAACGAACCTCTCCGCCGGAACAATAGCAATCTTCGAGCTCTCGAAATGAGAGCGAAGTTCCGCGAGAATTTCTCTCCGGGTTGCAGCGGCGTCCGCTGGAGCACGAGGCGTTCAGACGTCGAAATAGCCGCTTCGACCACGCTTCGCACCAAAAAGTTACACAGTTCACCTTCGATGATGATACTGTCGATGAGATAATTACACGCGCGCGACCGCTCCAACTGCGTAATCACCACTGCGAGAGCCACACGTGTCGCTGTTACACCTAACTGCGCACAAGCGTTGATTTTTTTCCCTTCCCTTCTCACGGAAACAGACTCTTATCGTCCGCAATACGCCTCGAGTTGTGTATACATTTGTTTATTTTGCTCCATTATACCGGCGACCCGTTATCTCTCCAGAATTTCGGCAATACCGTGGCTCGTTGCTTGGTTCGGCTATTTCGATGAAACGTGTAAAGGGCGACGAGCTTCAGAGACGGGATATCTTTTATAAATAGGACGTGGGGAGGAAGTCCTATGGACGAAGAATTTTCATTCCTTGTGTGTTATAATACGCTTTGGTTTGGATATTTCACGTAGACATCTTGTACACATTTTCTGCAACTCCCAATTTTGGGATGCATAAAATCCGATATCTAACAAGCGTTGCCATTTCGAATGGTGCGCGTTCGAGAGTTTTCGATTAGGCGAACCACGTTTCTGTTTTTCCATATGCAATTTTTAATGTTGTGTTGGATTTATGTCAAAATTGCAAGTATAATACGATCTTCATTTTTATGAAAAAAATCGGAACTCGAGATTTATTTATCATTCACACAATTTCTTCTGATTATAATATATATATATATATATATTTGTTTATTTATTTATTTATAATTATTATAAGTTTTATATATATTTATTTATTTATAATATATTATTATAGATTATTATTATTATTATATAATATATTTTTATACATTATTCTCCTCTTTGTTGTTTGCTTTCATTTTACTAAAATTACATGCACAACGATTAAAGAAGACAATACTCAAAAACAATTGACAATATGATCTTCGAACACCGAGAATTCCCAAATATTATAGATGGACGATTTTTCAACGAGACGAAATTATATTTGTTTCGGAAATTATGTTCGTAATGAACATATATCTTTGTACACATTATAGTACAACAATAGAACTCCATTTACTCGAACCAACTTTAATATTTGATTAAATCAACTCTAACTGGTTGAATTCATTTATTTGAACTTTTGCGTGAACGAAAAATCATTAGAATAGAACCTTGTTTATCTGACACGAATCTTCCGACAATACAGCTTCACTAGGTTTCTCTATATCCTACTTTTATTTACTTGGATAATAAGAGACAGCAGATAAGTATAACAGAAGTTCGTAGACTTACTGGACATTCAGCATTAACTGATTCATATAAGAGGTACGAGATTCTGCTGTATTAAATGAGAGAAGTGATGCACAATCTATTGCACAGGTAACATCATGTACTACAATCAACAACGATTAAATGGACACTTGGACAAAATTTTAAGAGACTGTCAAAGAAAACAAAAATAGTCTTCATAATTAAGAGTTAATACTTTAGTATTGTACGCTCAAATAATTATTTATTCGAACATCGAAACCTGTTGTCTTCAACGGAAAAAAACGCATGATTTCATCGGTATTTTGATTATCATTCGTTCGGGCCAGCAGAATAGGCAACTGAAATAAAAGGTAGTGAGTTATGGGTGCGTGTCTAGATCTCTGCATCGAGCCATTAAATAAAGCAATCAACGCCGCTAACAAGATCAAGCAACAAATGTGAATGCAGCTTTAAACAAGCGCGAGCACACGCGCCGGTAAGTTATACGGAATATAATACGCGAGTTCGCGATCACGCTCTCGCGGCTCGTCTACGATTACGCGATTAATTAATGAGTCGCGCGTTACAATCACGGCCGAGGCTTGTAATCGCGGTGACATAACCGCGTCGAATCGACCCGTCGCCTCGATAATTAATCGACGGGGGAAATTACACGCGCGCGAGCGCGAAACGCGAATGTCGAGCGACCGACGCTGACCGATTAAGAGTGCAATCCCATCGAAATCAGATATCCAGATTACGATGGGATCCTATCGCTCACCCGCCGAATCGTTAACCTCTTGCGCTAGTAACTGGTTCGCGGACCAAACAACAACCGTGTACAATAATTCGACTTCTTTTTTGAATTCATCGGTATATTATTGGATAGAAATTACTAGGAAGTAATAAATTGTATTATTCGTTTTGCCTGGGTTACATTTCAATATACTTAAAACTGAGAAAACATTGCAATTTTCGGCCAAATATTCTCGACGAGGTCAACGAGGTCTTGGGAATTGTTCTGCTCGCCGATGAAAAATGCCTCGTAACAGCGAAAGAAGCAACGTTCGATATGCAGTTACTCGAATCAATTGCCAAGAAGAAAAATTTGCACGTGGTGCGAATATTTCGCATTTGCGGAGCAACGTTGTCACAAATGAGAGAATCAAGTTTCAAGAATGTGCGAACAAAGAAAATTCGGCAACATGGTAAGAATCGACAGAACGAGAAGTGTAGGTATTATGTATCATTTAGAGAATTCACAAAAGTCTTGGAATACATGAATTACGTTTATACCAATTTATGCCACTAATTAGTGGAACTAATTAAGTACTTTGGCATTAATTACTTGTCGCAAACCGCGTTACTTGTCCCCTATTTTCCATTATTATTTTCCTCTACTATCCACAGCTCCATTATTTTCGTTTTCAATACTGTTTTTCCCCGCGTTATTTCGTAACTTTTAATTCTTCTCTCCGTGTTTCATCTTTGCAATTGCATATTTTTCTCTCTCCTCATTACAACATTATATACACGGAGTCAGAATAGGAACAAACGTTGGAATAAGAAGTGACGTCATTGAAGCTGAAAACAGAAACTTGAGCAGCGCAACACACAACTCTTTACGCGTTCCTCTATGTTTCAAACTCTACCACGCTGTTCAAATTCTTTAATCATTATTTCTACATTTCATCCTCCCGTTCCTCTCTTTTTCCGAATAAATTCACGCGATTTTCTTTCGCAACGTCGTTTGAAACTTATCAATCACGCAATGAGATTCTCCAAGAATAATTGAATCGATTTAGTCGATTTAACTTGACTGAGCCAATATCTTGAAAGAGTACGATGCATACTCGGTTATAAATTTTGTCTCCTTTTGTTCGAGAGATAATAATAAGAAAAGAAAAGAAAAGAAAAAAAAAAAAGAAGATATTTAGCCGACGAAAGAAAGTTCTTCCGTGGTCTCAAAGGATTGATAATTACGGACGAGAAAATTCGAAGACTTTCGCGAGCGGCTGTACAGGCAGTGATTGAGAAGAACGAGGCGATAAAGCGTCGGCCGGAAAAGAGGTCGCGTCGCGTTTCTTCATTCAAGTTCGTTCGGCTTTGTTGACACGGTTGACGTCAAAGTTGCGCGCGTGGGTGTTCTACCGTCACTTGGAGATGAAAAAGCTGGAATTTGAATTTTCATTGGCCCGGTTCGAATCGCGCGTTTTCCTTTCCTTTTCTTTACGTCACACAGAGGCGGCTTAGAAACACACAAGCACGAAACGACATTCTTTCTTTCCTTGCTTGTCCTTTAATTCGGCATCGGTGTGGAAAACCGATAAAACCTGAGCGGACGCACACTCAAGCCCCGTTCATCGTTACGCGATGATTAATTACCGCGTTCAAAGAGTAATAAAATTGCCGGCCAATAATTCATCGACGCTCCATTTGTTTCATTATCTCGCCTCCTCCGATGTTTCATTTACCAACAACGCGTTTCACCGAGATGCTCCTCGGTTCTGTCTTCTTGCTTTGACTCGCAGCAGTCATTTGAGTTAACCATTTCGAGAAGGATGTCTGAGTGAGGGGCTATTCAGAAGATATTTTTTTTTATTTTTTATTTATTTTATTTTTATTTATTTATTTATTTCGTTGTACGGTGACAACACACCTTGAATCATTTCGAACTTGTATCGTACATTTGGTGGCAAATCAAGCTTAGAATTTTTTAAAAGCCTTCTTCACGATCTTGAATTTTCGAAGCATTTTGATTATAGTACGTAAACATTCATTTTATTTTACGTATTTCAGAAAAGAAGAAAGTTTCTTTTATACACATTTTAAGGCTTCATCGCTTGAAAGATGCATATCCATAAGAAGTTTCATATTTTATGTTACTTTTCTAGAATACACCATTAGAAAAATTCCAAATGACAATTATTATAGTCTCGGATTTGAGTTGAGAAGCAAATAGCTACAATTAATTGATGACGTTCTTTTCATTGCAGGTAAATTTTAATTATAGAATTCAATGTCCAGTCGCTTTTACTTTGTTATTTTTTGAACACTATCAAATATAGAATCTATTGAATTATGAACGACCTAATCCAAAGTATTCCAAGTTTCATTTCGTTCTTAAATTATTTAAAAGTTTTAAAAGTTGATGGATTATTTGAAAGTTGGTGGATTTAAATGCTTTCTTACTATTGGTTTAAAATACCTCCAGAGGTGCTCGAGATTTATGTTAAGATTTTGGATCATCCATGCAGAGATTGAATGTCTTTTTCCTCTTTCCACTCAACTGTCGTGAAATATCTTCAGTACAAAGCATGATTCAACGCAATGCTAACATTCTGCGTCCCTGATTCGACTAATTGCAAGTTCCTCGTTCTCTTTCCTTTTCACACAGCAAATTGATGTACCAGAATGTTCGTTTCATTCTCACACTATTGTGCGCATTACATTTCTGGAAACAAATTTTGTTAATATATCATTTGTTTTCATAAAGATATCGCCACAAAAACTAGGTGTACCACCTAAGTGTCGAATTTGTCGTCGAATGTACAGTATTCAGATTCGAGGTGAAAATGTCTCGGATCTCATTGTTAATGCGACACACTGCCGACTTTTCTGCAACTTGACGCTTGAAGAATATAGTTGCACAGTACATTTGAACATTAAATATATTCGTACACATGTAAATATATTCGTTAATATCACGTGTATTCCGTGCAATTTCACACTTCGAAAAATGTTCCATAAATGGGTAAAAATCTGCATGAAAGTTTATTAAACGCGAATCACGTGTCACGTGTCTTGCGTGACAGGTCCTGAGAGCATTAAAGAAAAGGACGTTTCCAAGTTTTCCACTACAACCGCAATATTTTCATAGCATCCTGTGATCTCGCTGTGTTACATCGCAAAAAGGAGCAGCAAACTGCGAACTTCCCTGCCCGTCGGGGACACTGCGGGTCGGCGTAACA